TGCGCGGCTGAAAAAACAGGGATTTCCTGCACGCGGCGGCCACGGTGAGTAGAGCAGGTCAAGGCGCGAAAATCAGCTGGCTGCGTGGGCCGGCCGAGCGAGCTGGATGTAGAGGATGGGATAGCACCATGGCGGGTGGGTGGTCCCAGCCAGTGGGCGGAACTACCGGTACAGGCGAGCCGGTTCAAACTGGCAGCAGCCCACAAATGGCTCCATTTTGCTACCTGGGTAGAAGTTCTAGAGGAGAGTAAAGTTAAGTAGAACAGAACAGAATAGAACAGAATATAGAAAATGATTAATAGACTAGAATAGAATAGTATACAGAATATAGAAAATAATGAGAATAGAATAGAATAGAATAGAATAGAATAGAATAGAATAGAATAGAATAGAATAGAATAGAGCAGTGGTGGCTAACTTTTTTGGGCTCCTTTGCCCAAAATTGTGCATGTGCTTGCATGCTTGCGCTTGTGTGCCAGCACCCAGAAGGCAATGTGCGCTCCCCCCACACCTCTACACATGCGTGTGTAATCCCCACCCACCCACGCTGCCTCCTTACCTGTACTGAGCCTCCCAGCTGATTTTCGGTGGGTTTGAGGCCTTTTTCGGCCTCCCAAAGGCTTGAGGAAGGCTTCTGCAGGCTTCTACAGACTTTACAGGCCGATGTGATGAAACGGGGCTAGTTTTCAGCCTGCAAAGCCTGCAGAAGCCTTCCTCAAGCCTTTGGGAGGCCTAAAAAGGCCTCAAACCCACCGAAAATCAGCTGTGAGGCACGCACATGCGCAGTGAGGTAAGTTTGCCTGCAGCTTGTGTGCCGGCACAAATGGCTCTGTGTGCCACAGGTATAGAATATAGAAAATAATAAGTAGAGAATAGAATATAGAAAATAATTAATAGAATAGAATAGTATATAGAATATAGAAAATCATGAGAATAGAACAGAACAGAATAACAGAATTAGGAGGGACCTTGGAGGCAGGAAACCTCACACCATTTTGGATAAATGGTTGTCCAATCTCTTCTTAAAAACTTAGCGTTGGAGCATTCACAACTTCTATTAACAAGTAGTCCTCGATTTACAACCAAAATGCAGCCCAAAATTTCTGTTACTAAGTGAGACGGTTGTTAAGTGAGATTTGCCCCAGTTTACGACCTTTCTTGCGACCATCGTTGAGTGAAATGTGCAGTTGTTAAATTAGTAATGTGGTTGTTAAGTGAATCTGGTTTTCCCATTGGCTTTGCTCGACAGGAGGTCGCAAAAGGGAATCGCGGGGCTCTGCAGCCCTCGTTAATATGAGCCAGTTGCCCAGCGCCTGAATTTTGATCACCAGATCATGGGGATGCTGCAACGGTCATAAGTGTGAAAAACAGAAGTCAACAGTCATAAGAGTCGTGGTAGCACAGTGGTGAGAATGCAGTGTTGCAGGCTGACTGCCCACAGCCAGGAGTTCAATCCTGTCCAACTCAAGATTGACTCAGACTTCCGTCCTTCCGAGGTCATTAAAATGAGGACCCAGATTGTTTAGTATACTTTATTGTCATTGTACCTCATACAACGAAATCAAACACCATCTTCAGTGCACATCATGACCATGAAAATAAACACAAACACACATCCTTCACACTCCAAACATTGAATTGAAAACCCCTGATGTTGCATTAATATTGCACTATACAGTAGAATTTACTATAGTTCCTGCCCTGGGATAGAAGCTGTTTTTCAGCCTATTTCTCCTTGTTTATATTGTCCTGTACCGTCTGCCAGATGATAATAGTTCAAAAAAAAAGAGTGCCCAGGATGAGATGGATCTTTGAGAATGGTTTTAACTTTCTTAAGGCAGCAGGAGCTATAAAGCTCTTCCAAAGAGGGGAGAGGGCAACCCATGATCTTCTGGGCAATGACATTAACCCTCTGGAGTGCTTTCCTATCTGCCACTGTGCAATTGGCAAAGCCTACACAGGTGCAGTGAGTTAAGATACTCTCTCTGGTGCAGCGGCAGAAGGTCACCAGCAGTTGGGGGCAATAGGCTGATTCTGTAAACCACTTAGGGATGTAAAGCATTGTGAAGCAGTATATAAGTCTAAGTGCTATTGCTATTGCTATAGGTCAGTGGTATTATACCTTCAAACGGTCACTAAATGAACTGTTATAAATCAAGGACTACTTGTCTACCTGTAGCTATTGGGGTGATCTGAAAGGTATCCAGGACTCAGCACAGCATCCTCTTTCTGGGATGACTGGCATTTACAAGAATTTTCCCATTCCACAGGCAATCACGACGGGAAATCAAAGAGGGCCGCTTGTCTTTATGACTCCAGACAAATATTTTATGCCCAACAGAAAAACAAACAGGAACAGCAATGGTGGGGTGTAAATAGAAAAACCACAACCCACAGTTATTTCAATTAGGCCCATTTCTTTCAGCACCAACAGCGCTGCCAGCTTATTGCAAAACGAGCAAGCCAATGTACCACACACACACACACACACACACACACAAAATAAAATTAAAAACTGGCGGGGAAATAAATGTTCCTTTCCTGCAGAAATAAAAGATGATCTTATTATAATGGCAGTGGGAGGGCAGTACCCCCCCAAAAAAGTCAGGGAATAAATAAATGATCATCTGACTCGCTTCCTCTGATTCGTCCATATTTGTATTAGGCGCCTATTGAGGTGGACTGAGGACAAGGAAGAAACGCTTGTTATTTTTATTTTATTTTATTTTTTTAAAAAAAAAATTTGGCTGACACATTCTAGAGCGACGCAGAAGCCATGGCTAAACTGGAACTCAAAAACCTTGGCTAGCTGCTTTTGACCTTGCAGGCTTCTAGAGAAAGTCAGCCAGGCTTCTGGTAGGAGGAAGAAGTGGAACAGGATTCTGAAAATAAATATATCCTGATTTGTGTGTGTGTGTGAGAGAGAGAGAGGTGGGGGGAGAAAGCGCTGGGTGGGGGGGATTCAGGCTTTTGCATTCCTCCTGTGAAAATCATCCATGGTAGTTTTGACCTCAGAAGGTTTTTTTTTGTTGTGAGTTGCTGTCATCTCTGAGGTGACAGATATACCTGGGTTTATTTTATTTTAAGTTTCTGCAGTTTAACATTTCGATAAGAAGCTTAGCCATAGTATATATCTCTGAACTTCTAGATAAAGTGTATGCCAAGTCTTCTTTTTCTTTTTAATAAAAAAGGAAGGATCTTGGTTTTAAAGAACCTTAAGGATAACAATAGAAGAGAAGATCTGTGGCTCGGGGGTCGAACAGTGGGGGCCTTGATACTCCCTGGTTTTCTTGCAGACGTTTCATTACCAAACTAGGTAACATCACCTGTGTTAGAAGGGAGTGGGGGTTTGCAGGGAGGAGGGAGGACTGAGGAGGTAGAGGAGTGTGGGGTCCTTGGTGCTCTCTGCGCATGTTTGCTTCATTGCAGACATTTTGTTACCTGTCTAGGTAATATGATCAGTGCTAGAAGGGAATGGGGTTTGCAGGAAGGAGGAGGATTAAGGAGGTGGAAGACTCTGGGGTCCTTAGTGCTCTCTGTGCTTGTTTGCTTCATTGCAGACATTTCATTACCCGACTAGGTAACAGCATCAGTGTTAGAAGGGAGTGGGGTTTGCTTTCAGTTTATATGCAAATGGCTTGTTCTGACTTACCAATAGTTTAGTTTAGTTTAATTTAGTTTAGTTTATTGTCATTGCACCTCGTACAACAAAATCAAACACCACCTTCAGTGCACATCATGACCATGAAAATAAACACAAACACACATCCTTCACCCTCCACACATTGAATTGAACACACACACCCCACCGCACCAACACTGCACTATGCAGTGGAATTCCATCCCAGGGCAGTAGAAGCTGTTTTTCAGCCTATTTGTCCTTGTTTTTATTATCCTGTACCATCTGCCAGATGGTAACAGTTCCAAAAAAAAAAGAGGGGTTGGGTGCCCAGGATGAGTTGGATCTTTGAGAATGTTTTGAACATATAACAGAAAGCACATATATAACATATATGACAATAACAGAGAGTACCAAGGACCTTGAAGGAGGAGGAGAATAAACAGAAGATGGCTTCAAACTTTAACACATTGACCAGTTTGAACAGCTTGTGGGTACTCCATCCCTGGAGTTTTTTAAGAAGAGATTGAGCAGCCATTTTGTCTGCAACAGTACAGTGGAACCTTGGGTCACAAATGCTTCTGTTCATGACCAAATCGGGTTCCAACCAACAAATCCATATGATTTTTGAATCGGGTGGCAAACAAACCCAACCGCGGCAGATTCCCTTCCCACGCCCTCAGAATCCTCAGAATCGGCGATTTCCCCTTCTGCGCATGGGCAGTCCACGCAAATTTTTGTCTGCGCATGCGCAGTCGGTCATGCTTCCGGTCACGACCAAATCGGGATGCGACCTTAGTCCTGGAACAGATTACGGTCGCAACCCGAGGTTCCATGGTATAGGGTTTCCTGCTTGAGCAGGGGTTGGACTGGAAGACCTCCAAAGGTCCCTATATAATATTTTATATTCTGTGTTCCTAACACAAAACATAAACCAGCATTCTTGGGTTGCCCAATAAACCCTAGATCCTCTTGAGAAAAAAAAGCAGACTTAAGGTAAATGCAGTCTAAATTTAGTATAGCCATAGCACTTAGACTTACATACCGCTTCACAGTGCTTTACAGCCCCTCTCTAAGTGGTTTACAAAGTCAGCCTATTGTCCCCAACAATCTGGGTCCTCATTTTACCCACCTCGGAAGGACGGAAGGCTGAGTCAACCTTGAGCCTGGCGGGATTTGAACTGCCAAATTGCAGGCAGGCAGCAGAATTAGCCTGCAGTACTGCACTCTAACCACCGCGCCACCAGAGGCTCCTTGTTAGTATACCATCTGAATGCATCCATTCAATGTCTTAACTGGACAGCAGTAACCTAGCGCTGACCCAGGGCTTGCTCTGATGTTCTCCCGTGTCTTGATTCCCATGTTCTTCCTTCCGTTCCAGGTTCTACTGGGACTTCACCATGCTGCTTTTCATGGTGGGCAACCTGATCATCATTCCTGTTGGCATCACCTTCTTCAAAGAGGAGACCACGGCGCCCTGGATCGTCTTCAACGTGGTGTCGGACACCTTCTTCCTGATGGACCTGGTGATGAACTTCCGGACAGGCATCGTCATTGAGGACAATACGGAGATCATCCTGGATCCCGAGCGGATCAAGAAGAAGTACCTGAAGACCTGGTTTGTGGTGGACTTTATCTCCTCTATTCCGGTGGATTATATCTTCCTCATTGTGGAGAAGGGCATGGATTCTGAGATGTACAAGACCGCTCGCGCCTTGCGCATCGTCCGCTTCACCAAAATTTTGAGCCTCCTGCGGCTTCTACGCCTCTCCCGTCTAATCCGGTACATTCACCAATGGGAAGAGGTAAGAGCTGCGCGAGATCCACCACGGATGACATTTCCACAGAGCTTCCCAAGGAGAACCGATGTTCCTTTTGCTGTTTGTGGCATTTAAAAAAAAAGAGAGACGCGTCCCATTATTTATAGAAAAGAATATTTGTAGCTGTTGGAGTCCTTGGTGCTCTCTGAGGTTGGTGGTTTTCTTGCAGAAGTGTCATTACTGTACTGATGATGTTACCCAGTTAGGTGGTGAGACGTCTGGAAGAAAAGCACCAAGCTCCGAGAGCACCAAGGACCCCCCCCCATCCCATTTTTTTAAATGTTTGAGTTGAGGGTCCCTGTTTGGAATTAGACAGCCATGCAAATGGGCGTGCTCCCAAAAGGGCCACCAGTGTAGGTATGGCCATTGAAGGATGGATTGGCTCGGAGCAGTGTTTCTCGACCACTTTAAGATGTGTGGACTTCAACTCCCAGAATTCCCAAGCCAAGTTTAAGATTATATGAATTTCAACTCCCAGAATTCCAACTTTAGGATGGGTGGACTCCGAAACCAAGGTTAAGGTGGAGGGGCTACAATTCCCAGAATTCCCCATGCCAACCTTAAGATATGCGGATGTTAACCATCTTGGCTGGGGAATTCTGGGAGTTGAAGTCCCCACATCTTAAAGTGGTCAAGTCGTGAAAAACGCTGTACTAGAAGAATCTTCACAACTAGCATGCTAAATCATTTTGATGGGATATTTTGGGAACCCCAAGACATTGCTAGAAATCTGCGCAATGGGAAAACCTGGGTTTTTTTTATTTTCAGCAGCTCCACTTTGCTATTTCTTTATTTTTCTTCAAAATATCTTTTTTTTTAAAAAAGGCCTGGTTTTAATGGAGAATGGTTTTAATGGAGAATTGGGCGATCCTGTTCATTCACCACTCTGCTCCTAGTCCTGTTGGGAAGGTTGCCTTTAAAAACCATCTCATTTCAAGAAAGCATGTGGGTTGAGTGTGTCAAACTTGGTGAAACAAAGACGCAAGAAAAAGATCGGTCTTGCAAAAAAAAAAAGAAATCAGGAGTTAGGAAGCACCTTTTCAAACTAACTTTAATGTTGTTAAAAGGCCTTAAGTTTTTGAAAGCTGCGATTGCCATAACATTGATGAGTCTGAAAGGGTGCTAACCAATTCTTTCTGAATTGTTTATAACTATTGACTGAAGTAGTTCTCATCCGCCAATCTGTCCCCTTTTGTCCAAAGATGCTTCCAAAGATCGGAGTCTTCAAAGGATACAGTGGTTGAGCTAAGTAGAGGACAGAACAGAATAACATAATTGGAAGGGACCTTGGAGGTCTTCTAGTCCAACCCCCCTCCTCAAGCAGGAGATCCTATACCAATTCAGACAAATGGCCGCCCAGTCTCTTCTTAAAAACCTCCAGTTATGAAGCACCTACAACAATAGGGACTTAACGTAGTCTCCAAAGCACCAGAAGGCAGGACAAGAAGCAACGGATGGAAACTAATCAAGGAGGAAAGCAACCTGGAACTAAGGAGGAATATCCTGACTGTGAAAATTATTAACCAGTGGAACTGCTTGCCTCCAGAAGTTGTGGATGCTCTATCACTGGAGGTCTGCTGGCTTTGCTGGCTGAGGAACTCTGGGAGTTGAAGTCCACAAGTCTTAAAGTTGCCAAGGTTGGAGACCCCTGACTTGGGATAACTCCGGCTGTTAGTATGATGTGTTGGGTTGAGGAACAGCTGGGGTTCATTTCCTCCAGCCAGCTTGGAGATTTAGCCAGCTGTATAATGCAGAGAAGGATTTAAGGCCTCCCTTAGAGGCTCAGATTGGGGGGATATTAATTAATGATCGGACTTAGTGGGTTACTCGCTATAGGCAATCCTCGACTTACCCCAATAGGGACCGAAAAATTCACCATTAAGCGGTATAGTCGTTGAGCAAGGCATCAGGGGAATCACATCACATTTTACAATCTTTTCGTTGTCGTGGTCATTAAATGAGACCTCACAGGGCAACTGGCAACCTTGTCAGCTTCCCTATTGATTTCCTTTCTCTCCTCCCCTCTCTCCCTCCCCTCTCCTCTTCCCTTCCCTCCTCTTTCCTCCCCTCTTCTGTCTCTTCTCCCCCCTCCCTGCTCCCCACTCCTCCTCCCTTGCCCCTAGTTTCCCCTTCTCTTCTTCCCTTCCCCCCCTCTTTCCTCCCCTCTCCTGCCCCCTCCGTCATTATCTCCTCTCCCCTAGTCTCCCTTCCCCTACTCTCCCCTCTCTTCTTCCCTTCCCTCCTCTTCCCTCCTCTTCCCTGTCTCTTCTATCCTCATCTCATCTCCCCTCCTTCCCTAGCTTCCCCTCTCCCCTCCCCTAGTCTCCCTTTTCTTCCCTCCCCTCCTCTTTCACCCCTTCTCCTCTCTTCTCCCCTGCTCTGTCCCCCACTCTCCCTTCCCTCCCTCCCTCCCTCCTCCTCTCCCCTCTTTATTCCCTCTCCTTCCCTCTCCTCCTTTCCCTTCTCCCTCCCCCTTCCTCTCCTCTCCCTCCCTCCCTCCTCCTCTCCCTTCTTTATTCCCTCTCCTTCCCTCTCCTCCTTTCCCTTCTCCCTCCCCCTTCCTCTCCTCTCCCTCCCTCCCTCCTCCTCTCCCTTCTTTATTCCCTCTCCTCCTTTCCCTTCTCCCTCCCCCTTCCTCTCCTCTCCCTCCCTCCTTCTCTCCTCTCCTCCCCTCCTGTCTTCCTCTCTTTATCTTTCATCTCCCCTCCTTACCAAAATGCACTCTTACATTTCAACTCCATGAAAGCTCAGGGGACCCACTTCCAAATCGTTTTTTCAACCAAACTTGAAATGCCAAGCATTCAAACGAAGCAGGTTTTTTTAAAAATAAAAATAAAACCCACAATGGGAATAGTTAACTATCCGCCTGTCAGACTCCCAATTTCAACATGCACAAATTATAGCTCGAATTAGTGGTTAAGATAAAACCAGCTTCATCATATTGCTCTTCCATTAAAATTAATTTTAATTAAAGGAAACAGGAAGGAAGAGGGGAAGAAAGGAAGGATTGCTTTAAAAGGGAGGAAAAAAAGAAATAAAAGGGTAGATTTGAGGAGCAAGTTCCAGAGACTGAAAAAATGCTCTCTCTTGCACCAACAGGTCCCTAGCATCCTTGCCTACAATCCCGCTGTCCCTCAACAGATTTTACTATTTATTTATTTAATTTACACAGCCCACCCACCCCCATCCTCACATGAATGGCAGCCTACAATAAGATACAGGTACTTCTTGGCTTTGCGGTCACAACGGTGCCCAGAATTTGTGTTGCTACGTGAGAAACGTGTTGAGTTTTGTCCCATTTTTTTAACGGCTTTTCTTTCCACGTTTGTTAAATGAATCACAGCAGTTGCTAAAATAAAGTAACACGGTCGTTAAGTGAATCTGGCTTTCCTCATCGACTTTGGCTTGTCCAGAGGTGGCAAAAGGGGATCGCGTGACCCTGCAACCGTCGTAAGTATGAAGCGGTCGTCAGGCACCCGAATGCAAATCGCATCACCAATGGGGATGCTGGCAACAGTCGTAAGGGTGAAAAATAATTCAAGGTCATTGGTTTCGGTGATGTTGTAACTTCAAATGGTCACTAAATGAACTGATGCAGCTCGAGGACTTCCCATAGAGGAGAACTAAATGCATCCTATGCAAAGATGGTGTTATGACCGGTTCTGGAGAACCAGTAGCAGAAATTTTGAGTAGTTTGGAGAACCGGCAAATCCCACCTCTGACTGGCTCCGCCCCCATCTCTTCTCTGCCTCCCATTGAGTCCCAGCTGATTGGCTGGGTCTCCTTTGGTTGCCCTGCACAGGAGAACGGAGCTGGAAAGCAGGTTAATGGAGTGGGGAGGGAAGGGGGATTTTGCAGTATATCCTTCCCGCGCCACGCCCACCAAGCTACACCCACAGAACCGGTAGTAAATATTTTTGAATCCCACCACTGATCCTATGACATAAAAACAGAGCAGCGGCCGTAAGCACCGTTTTCCTTTAAACTCCTTGGGGTTTTTTTTTTGTGTGTGTAAAAGTTTCCATAATTGCAGAGGCTGCTCTGTGCAGATGCCAGAAAACCTCTCAGTTGAACCGGTTCTGTCATTACTAGATTTTCCAGGAAATGGGGGTTTCAGAAGATTGGTCTTTTTTTCTGCAAGGTGCAACGACCTTCTCTTAGTTAAAAAAAAAACACACAAAAAAGGTGTGTTGTGTTTTCTGTGCAGAATTTTTACACAGAAAGATCTTGCTGGTTGCTGAGCTCAAAACAACAACCAAAAAAAGCAGTTGTAACGCCAGTAAGTTGAAAGAAAAATGGAGAGGAATCGGGTAATTTTAACAGATAACAGACAATCTGAGTTGGAAGGGACCTTGTCGGTCATCTAGTCCAACCCCCGCCCAAGTGTGGAGACCCTACACCATTTCTGACAGATGGCACTCCAGTCTCTTCCTGAAAGCTTCCAGTGATGAAGCTCCCACAACTTCCGAGGGCAACTTCTGTTCCATGGGTTGATTGTCCTCACTGTCAGAAAATTTCACCTTATTTCCAGGTTAAATCTCTCCTAGTTCAGTTTCCATCCATTATTCCTTGTCTGGCCTTCAGGTGCTTTGCAAAATAGCTTGACCCCCTTCCACCTCTCTGTGGCAGCCCCTCAAATACTGGAAGACTGCTATCCTGTCTCCCCTGGTCCTTCTTTTTCCTAGACTAGCCAGGCCCAGTTCCTGCAACCGTTCATCGTATGTTTTTCACTTTCATTTCATTTTAATTCTAGCAGGGTGATATTTGCTAGGGAGGGTGGGGGGTAGAGGGGTGGGCAAGAGAATCTTCCTGCATGTTTACAGGCAGTCCTTGACTTACAACAGTTCATTTAGTGACCAACGTTACAACAGCACTGAAAAAAGTGACTTATGATCATTGCAAGCCTCTCCAGGGTCAGGTGATCAAAATTGGGACGCATGGCAAGTTCTTCCTATTTATGACCACTGCAGTGTTCACTTTCGGAT